TACATACATACACACATACGTATATGTGCACATACACATACATTCTTGATGTGAAAGAAAGCACTTTTCCTTAAAATAAAATTATAGGCAATTTTCTTAAAAGTCCATGACAATGTGCTGCTGGATTTTGGCTTTGACTTAGGGCTCAGCCAAAATCAGACTTGGGTCTTAACTTTGGAGACTGGAGAAGTCAGGAGAAAGTTGCAGTGAGACTCCAAGGAAGCCAGCCTCAAACCATCCTTCGGGGAAAAGAAATTGTCGCGACTGACCCTACGCTACCCTTTCTTGCTTCTCTGTGTTCCGCCACCCTCAGCCCCAACCACCATAATCTGGACTCTCTTCCCTAGTTAACACTGTCTGAGGAAAAGAAAATGGCGAGTGTCTTTTAGGCATCAATATTTCTGTGCAACGGCTCCAGAGTAATTAATTACTGACTTTTTTGTCTCAGTCAGTCAAGAGCCTTCTACTATCTTCGACTGATCATTCCCCACAGTCCCATGCCCAGGTAAGGGTATCATCAACCTCAGAGCTGACAACCAGAGATGAATAACTTGCCCGTCCTCTGTCTGCCTGTCACTGAGGATGGGCGTGGGTGAGCCCCTGCTTCTGTGAGCTCTGCTTTAATTCCCCACGGCCCCGCCCCGGGTTGCTCCTTCAGCTTTTACCATGACTTAAAGGTGCAGGAAGGGACACTATCAACTAGGGGCCCTCCTGATTCCTGGATGACATATCTTAGGTAATATCTGCTTACCCGCGGTCCAAGAGGGCACACTGGCCACCCAAAAGTTTGCCTGAACCTGTCCCTGGGTGGGAGGAGCTTGGAACAAGGAGGAAAGGGGAAAGGAGGAAACTCATGATGTTAGTTTCATGGGTCACATTTCTCAAGGCAGAGAGAAGCCTCTGAATGGGCTTTTCAGCTCCTGCTTTCATAAAGCTCAAGTGCTCCTCTCTTTAAAGAAAGCGCAATACCGGCCAGCCAAGCCACTCCTCCCTGGCCTTAGGACTCTGCTGGGATGCCTCTCCAAAGAGCCCTCCCCAATGCCCCAAGTCGGGGCTGGGTTATGTGCCCCACCATCTCTGATCACATGGATGTCCCCCACGCCCTGTGACTGAGAGCTCCCCGAGGGCAAGGACCCTACTGGCCTTGCTTGTCATATAGTAGCCGTTCCATAAACACTTGTGAAACAGAATTGAATTTACATGCTGCCTTTATTACATTAACCAATTACAGTATAGCTCCTTTTTCGGCCATCGTTAAGGAATTTTCCAGGGATATTTCTAAATCATACAGTTGTCCTCATTAGGCCTCAAAGATTATTTGTTATTGAACTCTTTCTAAAATGCTTTGACTATTTTCCTGACTTGTTAACATAATGTAACCTTTCTTTCATGTCCTGGTATAAATGCATTGGCTTGTGAGTTTGGCTCTCTAACAGATTTAAGTAACGTGGTTTAAACAAGAGAGTTTATTTCTCTCACATGAAATAATGCAGGAATAAATAGTCCAAGGCTCCCATGGTGACTCCACAGGATCAGGAACCCAAGCTCTTTCCACCCTCTTGCTCTGCTATCCCTGGGGGTTACCCTTCTTGTCACTCTGCCCTCTTAAGACTGCATCCCAGCCTGGAAAGGAAAGGAAAAAGGGCGGAGCTTGCAGCACCTGGCACATCTCACTTCCGCTCCTAGTGCAGGGGCCAAAATTTAGCCACATGGCCACACCTAGCAGCAAGAGAGACTCAGTAGCCATAGTCCGTGTAACAGTTGTTCTATTGCTAAGAGAGAGAAGGGGAAATTGAGCAGTGGAGGGCAGCTGATAGTGTCTTCCACAGCCATCGCTATAAATCTTAATTCGCCATGGTACTAGACTGTGTTTTGGCGGTTCCTGTAAGGACGCTGAAATGTGCAAGGCTGACACCCAGTAAGGACCAAGATCCTTGAGTTTACAGATTCTCCATCTCCTCAGTTACTACTAGGCTGCCGGGCTGTCTCTTCATGTGATGAGTAGGCTTGTTTTTAGTGATCCTACTTCCTAATCTGCTGAGAGCTAGAAAACCAGATATCCGAGCTTTTTAGAATTACATACATCAAACTCTGTCTCGCTCTCTCTCTCTCTCTCTCTCTCTCTCTCTCTCTCACACACACACACACACACACACACACACACACACACACTCAGATGGGAGGTGAGCGGAGCGCGGTGGTTAATAGCACAGGCTCTGGAGCCAGGCTGCTCTACGTTGCTGTCTATATGACATTAAGCAAGTCACTTCACCTCTCTGTTTCTTCACCTGTAAAATGGGAATAATAAATAATAACTTACCTCATTGGGTTGTTGTGAGCATTAAAAAGTTATTACACATAAAGCATGTTACCTGGCGTATAGTAAGTGCCCAATAAGGGGTAGCTACTATTATTTATATAAAGTAAGTTGTTGATTCCACAGGTCCTGAGTGAGTCTAAGAGAGCCCCTCCTTTGAATTGAGCTTCTTGGGCTTCATGGCAGTACTTCTTGCGGCTCAGAGGCCCTTGTCCCTCACTCCCACGCTCTGGGCTGTGTCCCAGATGGCTTCAAGCTGCTGGAAGCTGGAGGGCCAGAGAGATGGAGTGCCATTGTAAATTGATATCAACTTAAATTTGATATGTTTTATCTCACTCACATCCTGCATGCATTTTTAATAGCATCTCAAAGACAACAGAGTAAACGGATAGCAAATGAAAATTGCATTAATGTTAGGATTCTTAATTCTGTGTTTATATTTCCAATCTCCAGACATCCTTAGAGACAGACAGAGGCCCCAGTTCAAGAAGGGATAATGGAACTCTGTGTTCTAATTTATTAAATACTTTTTGTGGAAGGCCTTCCCATCAGAAGACTCTAGACCAAAGCCAGAAGGACTCTCTCCGTCCCTAACAGCTCAGATGACAGGAAGGAAGCTGCAGGGATCAGACACTCTGGTGAGTGAGCCGATTTCACTCCCGGGAGCCACAGATGTCACATGACCCCAGGCTTTATTGCGTGTGTTCTGGAAGGCAGTGCTATTCTACATCCCAAAATGTCATGTGT